ACGCGCCTTGACTTAACTCAATGGATTATCACGGCCACGACCGAGATTCTATATAGAAAGTGTCTAAAGTCACGTGCCTCCCTTTAATTACAGATTTCTTAATGAATAATTTTGTCTTCGGCGAAAGTTTGATTCACAATTATTAATGTTCGTCATTATGACCTGTGCTCATTAATTATTTAACTGACAGTACTGAATTGAAGCACCTTGAATTATGTTTTAAATTGAATTTTGGAAAAAGGCAAGATCTGCTCGTAGAAAATCCGCAACTGTGAGAGAAAATGTAAAATTTCTGATACATCCTGCGCATTCTCATATCTGTTACGTCGTGCAATTTTAGCACATGTGTGCGCCCCGTACGCAAACGTCATCTATTTTCGTCGGGCGTGCGAAAGTGGCATGCAGAAGGCTCCTGTACGTCAGGATCGTATTTATAGTTGCGTGAATCCGGAACGATCACAATATCCTTATCACCGGTATGTAACGCGTAACGAGAAACGGATCGTCGAATAAAATAGCTTATATGCACAAACTTGGATCAGCTAGATACGAACTCTGAACTTTTCGTACGCCTCCCTCCTTTTCCTCCGTCGAATTCAACCCTATGTAACCCTTCAGCCGTAAGCGCCGATAGCAGCACTTTTATCGCGACGCTTCGATATGTCGTCGTCGACACTCGCAACGGATAAGCTCGCAAACGCGTGCAAAATGAGAACGCGTGCTCTCTTCGCGAGTTTACGGGAAAAATTTCTGTCGGCAAACTTCTTAATTGAGTGGGAATACGCTGCGCGAGCACTTCGCACTCTTTGCATTTTTCCGGTCTCGCATTTTCCATGCTTCGCATCTTTCGCGGGAGTACAGCGCGAATAGTTGGAAGCCCGTAACTCCGTGCGATGCATTCTCACCATCGATACAAGCCGGCGATGCATCGCGAGATGGATGTGACGAGAGTTCCTCAATAGCGGACCATAATCTTAAGTGAAAAAAAGTATCTTACTATTCTTACAGAAAATTCAGACATGTTATACGGAATCACGTGTAACATATGTCGCTCCGCCGTGTATTTATAGATTTTTTCGTTCAGCTTTCAGTTTGACGTGCAAAAAAAAAACTTGATAGAAACGCCCTAATTGCGCAATAAAAGCGCTGACAGAGCGTAAACAAAAATTTGCATTTGGTTGCACGAGTCGTCGTTTTACGTGTGATGGAAGATAAACGAACATTACACGCCCGGACTTTACATTGCGCTTCGTAGGATAGCGCGATGGTTTTATTGTAAAGCGAGGTAGAGGGATTAAGTGGCATTACTTTGCACTGTCCTTTGTAGGCGAGGACAATTTATGCGAGGCCGTTCCTCCGCATAAAGTGCAAGCATTTCGGCGCAACATCCCTCTCACTAATTTAATTGCTTTATGCCCATAAGTGCTACAATTTGCAACGGAATCGCGAGATTTTATTTCGAACGCTAGATTAATGTTGCTTGAAATTAGTGTTCGGAAATTTCTGATGGTCAAGCAGTTTAGAGACTCTTCGAGTCTCGAGATCGAATGTCGATTCGGACTTTCGAGTTCAAAGTATGTTCCAACTGCTCAAATTAATTTTCAGTTCCAAAAATTCGGAAATTGTTACAGTTTAAACGTAAAACTTATGAAATGCGTAATGACGTATACACATTAGCCGAACGCAATTGAGAGATTAATTGAAAGATTGTTTAATTTCCTATTGCGCATATGTAATCGTCTGTGTGAATGTAAAATCTGGAATATTAATGTAATTCACGAAATAGAAATGTTGTCACGTATAATTTACTGTTAAATATGACAAACATTGCTGTAAACAAAAATATAAAAGTGGAATATTTCCACATAACAAATACCTCCAATTAAAATTATATATATATATATATATATATATTGAGGAATGACGTTACAATATTCCTACCGTCACAGTGACGCGATAATTCCGTTTGTTTCAATTTATTCGACTGACGCGTTTAACATGAACAGAAATTTCGCGATATGTGTTTTAGACGTGCCGAGTTACTCAGTGTTTATGTATATACGTCAGTTTTCAAATATCCTCATAAAATTCAGCCAACAAAGTTTCCGACTTCACGCGGCACATCGCGATGTGTCCTACATCTTCGTCATACCGCGAACGTAAAATTCATCCGAGAGAAAAAGCCATTTTCCTTAAAGCATAGCACCCTACGTGGTTGCCACTGGAACGAATTACAGCGCGCGTATCTGCGTAACCAATTATATTAACGTCACAAAAATGGAGCTGTAAATGTAACATGCGGTATAAAGTGTCTCATTTTGTCCACACGCAGCTTTCACTGTTTTCAATACTCGTGAAAATAAACATCTCTCGGCATTCCAATAACGAACCATCCTTTCACATTCAACGTGAAATGGATTAATCATGTTTTAAACATTAATTCAAAATTTGTAATTACGTACTAAGGCAATATCGAAAAAATGTTTTCAGCCAATTTTCTTAAAATAACATGCGATATATGCTGACAATAATCGTTTGAATAATCGCTATTAATTATAATTTTTCTCGCTATTCTGTATACAAAAAAAAATAATCTCCTGATAAAAAGTATAATTAGGATAATTTTATTAGATAATTTTATTATATAAGATGCAGCACTCTGCAAACATATTAAGGGATTTGCAAAGTGCAAAGATCGTCGAACCATTTTTAGTCGCGTCTGTCACCAGAAGAATGTCAGATAAATCGATCAGCAAGTTTCATAAGGTGCGTTTTTCCCACCTTCCATTTGGCCTCATAAAATTCACATAACCAAGCTACATTAGACGATACTAGCTACTGCCAGCCGTGAATTTAAATTCAATACACGGAGGTTCTTCTCGCGCGCGGGAGAGATGAGCGAACTTTCCTCATAAGTTAGTTTCTTTGTATCGTTCAGTAGACGAGCGTCATATTGAATCTCTCTTTATCCCAGAGCGCATCTTCCGCGTCGCAATTGCAATTACATAATAGCCATATGATACATTACAGTGTGTAATATTCCGGTTTTCTTTTGCAAACCGAACAAAGAGGAGCTCCATACAAAAAGAACAAATTGTCTACCAAAGTATACAAGTAGACACATAAAAATATTAGATCGCGTTTTATATATATGTGCACGCAACAACATTTTCATTATTATAATATCGACAAATTTCTTTTCCAAAAAACATTATAAAATATTGAATAGATTATTAATAGAATTGATATAAATAATGTAAGTAATTTTATTTAGAAAAAATTACTTATTAAATAAAGATACAGATCGCATCTCTTGATATTAATATTGCAGTATCGATTCACAAAAAAGGTCCCATTTGCTAGAACTGTAGTTATTGAATTGCACACGGAATATTACGGCAAAAATGTGCAAATTCGTTCAAAGGTAAGTGCTAAAAGTAACAGAGATCCAATTTCCAATATTAAATCCTGCTATAGCAGCGATTGTCCTCCGACCGCGGCGAGAAAAAATATAGTCGATAGAATTTCCATCACGTAGCTTACCAATTTCCTGTATTGCTTTCGTATTGTTGCCATCCGGATATTCTACGGATCTTACTACATGTAATATGATCGTTATATTCTTTTTTATGAGATCGAATAAAATGTGTACAGTTTCTATGTACATTAAAATTGTAAAAAAGAAAAGAATGACAATATCTTTTTATTGTCTTTATATGCTTTTTTTATACATGTTTATGTTAAACAATCTTTTTTCTAGAAAGAAATATAAAAGTCGTATATTGAATCAAATATTGTGATTGTGTATAACTGATTCAATGTGAAATAATAAAATGACACAAAACAAAACGCGAGATACTCTTTTACTGTAAATAATGTAAAAAAAAAAGCACTTTCATGTTTTGTACTGAATTATCCAACGTAAATCTTTCGAAAAAATATAGGACTTTTAAATGGGCAAATATTTAGAAACAAAAATAATGTAATATTTTATACGAAACAAACAACATTTCCGACAATTTCGCCGTATCGTTCACTGAACGAAATATAGGTCCCGAGATAAAGTTCGCCAGGAAACTATTTCACATGCGACAGGTGTTAATTCTGCGTTGATTACTTTTACATCGTAAACCGACTAAATGTTATCGATTCGGATCGTTACGACCGCCGAAATACATGCACCGCACAGTGGGGTCCCATTAACGAACTATTTCCATTCCACAAATTAATTTAATGTCGCCGCTGAATATATGAACAGTGATTTGACGAGATCGTGCATAGAAGGATGCGGCCTCAATCTTAAATCTTGCGACTTAAACAAATTATTGTTATTACATTATTACAAGTGTCATATATTGTTACACTAGCAGGCAATTAAATGCAGATCAAAATAATACGCAATTTTTTGAAAATATACAAATAGCCCGGAAATATATAAAAATTGTCTCAAAAGTTCTATCGCCGATTCGTTTGTTATTTTTAAATGACCTGAAAATAGCAAAAAATCCCCGCGATACTTAGGCATTCGTGCTTGGTGCACGATAGTTTCTGCTACGAGATAGCTATACGAACGCTCCATAACGCCAAAACTTTCCACAAAGGCTCGTTTTTTTCCATGAATATATAACACGACATAAAATATCTCGCGTGTCCGGTGCGTGGCAAAAGCCGCGGGATATTTTTGCGAAACTACTGCGACTTTCCGACGGTGCTCCGTCGAAAATTGACGACGGGATTTTGCCATCACACTTAAGTGATATTGATGATTACAACTGTGCAATTTCTCTAATTTCTCTCTCGCCGACAGTCTCTGATTTAATTACATATTTAATGGCTACTTAGCTCTCAATCGAGAAACTAATTATTTCGCTCCCTTTCTTCGTTCAAAATTAATGTCTCTACCACGAATTATTTACTCCGTATTACGAAACTGTCGACGAACGACGAGCAGAGGAGAGAACGCATCCGATTGACGCGCAATTGCGTGTTGTTTGTTTCAGTGACGGGGCTAGAGCCAGACTTCGCTTATCCGCTGGAGAACGTAACGATCCCTCAGGGTCGAGACGCTACCTTCACCTGCGTAGTGAGCAACCTCGGTGGATACCGGGTGAGTCCTTCCTCCTCCGCGAGCGGAGATCACTCTGGCAGCGCCAAGGCCCGGGTAACTATTTTACCATTAACCTGTGTCCGCCTGTAATGGACTACTACCTTATCTACTACCTACTACTACTAACTCTACTACTACTGTCACTACTACTACTACTGCACCACCTATATGCGCGCGTGCCTGCACTTCACAGCACTGCATTTAACTGCACTACCGCCAGCTATGAAAAAAGAAATATATCTATATATATATATCTATATATATATATACTACCACAGCCGCAGAGCAGCCACCATCACTAACCATCTCTGTATATGACATCCATTTTCATCTATCAGCTGCTATAGAGTACCCGACTACGACGCGGCAGCCGAAGTTTCATAGTCTCTTCACGTTCTCTTACCTCGTTCGCTTCGTTCACTTCGCCGAGAAATACCGAGCAACACGCGCCAAAGAGAAAGAGAGATAGAGAGAAAGAGACTTTCGTGTAAAGTTACTCGCGAAGTGGTTAATGATGCCTTCGCGCGTCGAAAAAATGCAGCGTATCGTTATCTATCATTATAATCGGTAGCTATCTATGTCTAGTCATTAAACTTAAAACGCGCTGTAACGACGGCTTTTCCTCCCGTTTCGTTCGCATCGCATCGTCGGGATTATGTATCCTGATTTCGCCGCATCTACGAAACGTAATTATCGTGATACGCGCGTTCGCGTTTTGTATTTCGTATACGAATAAGTTAGTGTCATATAGTTCATCCTAATATGTGATAGCAATTTGAAACGCAAAACAGATCGGACATTTATCGGGATCGATGTTATCAATATTAACGCGTCGCGTAGCGTGGATGGAATTTATTCCAATCGACCGATTGGTCCTCGTCCTTTCTCTGAAAAGAATTCGAATCACGAGAGGTTGAATAGACAAAAAAGCCGATCCATCCCAGCTATTGTTTTTTTCCGACAATAGCTTTCCAGCACATTGCCGGTCTCTATTTCCATGGAGTTCCGTGCGCGTTCTAGAAGACTACTGTCCGATACTATGGACATGTTAATTCCTTCAGTTTCTCGCCGTGAGCAGCTGATGATAATTAAATATTCTGTGTTGACGCTCATTTATGCATATTAAAGTGCGTATTAAAATATTCAATACTTGTACTTGAAATGAACAAATTCGCGAAATATTCCAACGCGGATATATTGAAATAACTCTCTCGATAGCAATGGAAGATCTCAATTTTATTTTCGCAAAATTTTGTTGGAATTAATACAAATAATAATGTGATCAAGTATCAGCAAAATATTTAAAAAAGATTATCGTGACGTAACTTTATTTCAAAGTTAGTGATAAAAAAATTTCCTTTCTCACGCGCGTATCAAATAGTAATTCTGCTGTAAATATGCACATCTTTTGTATTGATATGTTTCATATCTTACATAAATTTTTTATGTTAATTCAACGGTTTCTTATGATTTTATTTAATTGACAATTAGCAGAACTAATTCTTTGAAAGATACGATTGACATATTTCTTTCGGTACACCCCGTAGAGAACTGAGAGTCGCGTGTAATTGCGTAAGTTCTGCTTTACACTTTCCGGTAATAGCGATTCCCGACAATAGAAGGAAGATTGATCAAGGCCGGTACGGCGCCGTTATATGTAGCGAAATTGATTTCGCGCGAGTACATATCGCCGATGTGGCGTATTAAGCGCTTTACGGCTCCACTTGTTGAACCGATAACTTCCCGATAGCCGAGGTTGTTCCCTTCCTTCCAGATCGCGGAGAATTTTCGCCGAGGAAAGAAATTTCGGCGCCGGGCGCCGTGCGCGCGACCCTCGTAGGTTTTAATTAAACTTGGCACTGTCAGAGTTTATAACTTGTTGGAAGATGCGATTACTTCCGGCAATGCGCTCGCCCGCGTTTCAACTTCTTTCTTATAGCACGGTCGGACAATTCTCCGCCCGGGAGTTTACGCTCTCTTCTAATAAGGATTATCGGTTTCATTTTTTCCCCTTTATTTTATTTTCCTTTTTAAATTATTAAACATATGAACAAGTTCTGTAAAAGAAACTTTTGTTCGAGCGCAGACTCGTAACTTCAATTTTACGAATTAGTATACGCAATATAAACAAGAGGATTTCAAAGAATAGTTTAGGTTAAAAATGAGATATTAAAAAACATTATCTGCAAATGTTAAGAAAAGATTGTCAAGACAAAATATTATATTGTCTCTAATAAAATTATAAGACTTTTTCAATAACCGCCAAGTTCTTGATAATATTAATATCCAAGCATTTGTGTCTCTGAGGATTATGTAAAGCAATTTTAATATTTTTCAGCGTGGCAGCATATCAATCATTTCAATCTTTCGTGAAGTAAAAAAAAGACATAAAAAAATATGGCGTTTCGTGAAATTTTGTGGGTTGATCGTATAGTTATCGCAAAAAGCACATTTGCCCGTGTTGTTTTTGCCGTACATCGTGAACCATGGTAAAATTTGCAAAACAGATTTGTGCACAATTTGTCATCGCGATCGATTAACAACGAATTCATTCACGTGCCGTACCGATGCTATATCAACTGATTAATCGTAGGTCGATTTCAATCATTAAACGCAACCATACGATCATACAAAGTAATTAGTAGTAATTTCTATATTAGAAATATTATTTTAATTATCAAGCTGATAGCTTTATTCGCATTTTAAGATCGCGCGTGTAGCAGAATTAATCTAGAATCGTGTACTTTCTCGAATAATTGTTCCGCGATACAAAAAAGCTCAAGCAACTTCTAAAAATGGCTACCAAGTTTCTCCGCCAAATTGAATTTCACTCCTCATTGGCTCGAATGGGAACTGGCAGGAAGACAACGTTCAAATCGACATTAAGCCCGCAACGAGTACCGAGACACTGCTTACAACTTGAATGCCCTGTGCTCAAAGCGGATCTCGCGAATCGGCCAATGCGAGTTCGAGCCTACTGCGAGGATGTTCAGGCCTAGTATCCGGCTTTTTCGCTTGTTAGATTTAAGCTTTGATGCTTAATCGCACCCGCTGGAAAACCAAGGATTGTAGTTCAACGATTGTATCAGGCAACAGCATCCATTGTTATTTCTAATGATAATTGATCAATACATAAATATATCTGCACAATTTTATCATATTATAATTTCAATGCAATTTTTTGAAAATATGATTTATCTTATAAGCATTTTTTATTTTAATCCACAATCTTCGCATAGAAATAAATGGACTCTGTTGCCTCGGTGGATGACAGTATACTTGAAAATCTAGAACTGAGGAGTTTCAAAGGATATTTCAAAACAGGAATGATGGGCATGAAAACCAATGACAGATTATGAAAGCAATAATTACAAGCGCGGGCATAATTATTTCCATAGCTTTAAGCACATTCGTGCAAAACAAACACAAGTATAATCTTATACCTATTCTCACGAGATTACTTTTAATCTCTCATTTTTATTTATAACATAAAACATAATTATTGTAAAAAATATTTCAAACGCTAAATATATTAATTTTTGTTAAAGTTCATTAATTTGACTTATTACCACGTTATGTAAAAGTGTTCTGCATATTTATCAAGATTATGTTATTAATAATAAAATATTACAGACAGTATTTATTATGTGAAATCTGCATCAAAAGCGCTAATTTGTGAATATCGAAGAAACACGAAAAAAAATTATCCCAACAAAAGTATTACGGACATAATAATTCCCATTCTGAATATCTTGCTATTTCGAAATGTATCATGATTCTCTCGATAACGACTTCTTTTCAAGTGACGGTCGTTTGTCATTGCACGAATTTTCCGAAATCGAAACGTCACGAAAAACGTTCCGCGCTCTGCCCTACCCTGCCCCCCCCCGCCCGCCCCCGATACGAAAACATTCAGGTCCACATCGGCTTGTCCACGAATGCACAATTTCTATTTGCACATGTGTCTGTTTACAATGCATAAACGCACTTGAAATTTGAATGTTCGTGAGAGATGAAATATGGTGCAAGCTGCATTGGAGAAGGATTGAGATGCACAGATGTTCGGACGTGTTATGCGCCCTGAGTAATTGCCGAGTCCGAAGGGCGAGATACGTATTGTTCTTAGCGTGTCACTGAATTCCTGTCTATATGCGAGAGGCATGCCAATGATGCATGAATATATGATAACGGAGAGTACACGAGGTTGCATGAGCATGTTTTTAACAATAAGCATTGATCTAGACAGATAAGAGAGATAACGTAATGTTAGAGATTTAGACTTTAAAGGCGATAGATTCGCGTTCAGATTGAGGTTTTGGTAGCTGAGATCAATTTTAGCGATGCTATTAGAAATCTTCCTCTCTTCGTAAAAATTTCAATTGTACTCAGATTATGTGTAAATATCATACATATACGCTATTGAACGTTTATTTTCTATAATTCGTTCTAACTGTAACGCTATAAAAGGCATATAAGTAGGATATGTGTCCTTTGATATGAGATTAATAAGTATATATATATATATATTTATTTCTATCGAAATATGATAAAAAAGTGTAAACGTTAAATGCAATTACATCTCATTTGCATCGATTGCGTCACTTGCGAAGCGACTAATCTTAAAACTTGCGCTCTTACACGACAAAAGAAATGAGCACGCGCCGTTTTGTTCGTATCACCCGGTACATCCCGGGGGAGCTTACGCTAGAACGAGTAATCCTGTCCGAAACGTGCGTGTCACGCGGATCGGTTAATCGTTCGAATTCCGCGCACGCGGCTACTCGGATGAGTGCGTTTCGCTGTACCGTCGAGCGTGCCGTGCCGTGCCGTGCCGTGCCGTGCCGCGACGCCAAACGTTGCGTCGCGCTTTGATATAAATTCTAACATTTAACCTACCGTTATCGCGTTCTCGGGCGCTGCGCTCGAATTTCACACGACATGTGTACCTTCCAAATAAAATATAAACAATGCATGATAAACAATTGCACGTCATATGGATTTGTAAACACGTATTACGGAATATATGTTTTAAAATTACTGTCGCTTTATTTGGCTACGGATTTATGAACAATTTTATCCTCTCTTTATAAATATTTGATTTGATTTCAAAAATATGCTCTTTTATCTTTTTCTTTATTTTGATTACTGAATATTGTGTAATGATAAAATAAATTGAATGAATAAGCGTTACTACGGTCGCAGCGCTCGTCACGTTTATACTTCTGAATTAACTCTTTCAAGATACCATAAATTATTTTCAAAAGATTTAACTTTTAGGTGAGCGTTACGTCTCACTTTAGAAAAATACTGGAAATGCCACATTTTTAACAGGCACCACGAGTACACCGAGAAGAGAGAAAAGAGAGAAAAACAGAATCCTTTATTGCAAAATTATCTCAAATTAGACAGAGAAAATCTCTCTTAATTCTTTTTATCAAAAATGAAAGATACGGCTCTCGACAAATGTAATGATGAAAAAGATCGTCTTGAAAGGGTTAAAGTCGTCACAGGGCGAGAACGGGGAAGAAAGGAGAGCAAAAAGAAGGAGAGACCGAACACAAAGACTACAAACTAGTACACTAGCACTTGGAATTCCGACCGTAAAGCCGTGACGATGAAGGGGAATAAGCGAGGCAAAGGAGGGTCGCACCGACGGAGTTGTCCAACAGCGCGTCGTGAAGGGGCGTGAGGGAGAGAGAGAGAAAGAGAGAGACGGAGAAGGCCGCGGAACTTTTAATTAGCGAGTTTATCCATTTATTCCACACGCCGCTAAAAAAACGAGGAACAGCCGTACCTTAGCGGACGAAAATCGAGAAAATAAAAACTTAGGAGCGAGTCGCACTATGTAAGTGGGCGACGGCGTTGGGAAGCGCGGAATAAAACGCGAGGATGAGGAAGGATGAGGAAAGGGTGAACCGAGGAGGTCGAGAGGGGTGTTCTGAAGAGGCGCGGAGGAGATGGCGGGAAATAAACGAGGTGTGGTAGACTGGACCGAGGCTCCCGATCCCACAATGCGCCACAATGGAGCGCCGACGATGGTTTTGCATATGAAAGAGGACCGAGAATGGAGGGAACGCGAAGCCAAAGGCGGCAGCAAAGGGAAGGGGAGGGTGGAATAGGTGTACGTAACGCGATATTATATCGGACTAGGGAGGTTACCCCCCCCCCCCTCTCGCCCTCGCTCTCTCATCCACGAATCTCTTTACGTCTATCTATCCGTCTGTTCCGCAGCTTCCTCCGCGGATTCTCCTCCCCAACTCCTTAAAAGACCGTGAAGAAGAGGGAGAAGGGGGAGAAGGGGACGATAAGTCGAAAGTACCCGGAGAGAAAACTGCATTAGGGCAAAGAAGGCGTTCTTTGCGTTAAGATAGAGGCTCGTTTCCATACGAGGGCACGGCGTGGCGCTCTTTAAGTCTCCTCGCTCGCCTCTCTCCCCGTTTCCCAAGCTCCCTCTAAATCCTCCGCCTCCTTCATTGTGCTGCAAATTCGCCATCCACTCGCTGATCGGGAGGACATGCACGCGACGCTCCGTGTTCCGGAAAGGGAAGAGACGAAGAGGGGAAATGACGGTTCTCGTCTCGGTGGTACAGGATTTCGCTTTTTGAGGTCGCAGCGGTAGGATCGCGGAGGTCGCTCAGCTTTTGAGTTTCGACTTTCGGGATGCGCGAGTTAAAAGGAGCGACGTATTGTGCGCGGCTTCGAGTTGTCGTCACCGGTGCTCGCGCGACGTTATCCTGCTCGCGTTGCTATGGATACGTTCTCTCGCTTCCGAGAGCGATTTTGATATCGCGTATTCGCGAGGAGTCTGTCACGGAAATTTGTGAAGCGGACTCCACATGAGGGAATCGTTTCCTGATCGATTTTACTTAGAGTAGAGTAAATATTTCTCTCTTCAATTTTGCACTCCCGAAGCGCGATTTTATTCAGCTAATCATCGAATAACGTGAATTTTATCGATTTTATAAATATCATAAATTTCCCATTTTTCTCATGTTTCCTACTTTCTTCCAAAACTACTAACTTTTGTCTTTCTTTCTTCGAGCAAGCATTTTAAACTATTTCTTTCTAACTTCAAGGAACCATCTTAAACTATAAATTGCTTCATGCATATTTTTGGAAGTTTCTTCCTCCGTTTCCCACTCCATAATAATTAATCACCGACAATGCAATTGATGGCAATACGACATAAATGTTTGAAAGTTGCAAGCATCTTGTCAACCGCGGCGACTTTTCCATTCCGCCTTTTTCAAAGCGATGGTTTGCCACACCCGGGAGAAGGGAGAAGGGGGAGTGGCGAGACATACCGAAAGGGAGAATGGGGTCACGCTTATACTCCGGCATAATATATTATAAGTGGAGGCACTCACAAGGCCGTCACTACCAAACACTCTCGCCCTCTCGCATCCCGACCACCTCCCGCAACCTCCCTTCACCCGCCGCGTTCGTCCTCTATACACTTCGCTCGCGGGTTATCGATAAGAACCGCGGAACTGCTTTGTCGGTTGATAGATAGCCTTTCAGAGGTCAGATATTCGACATGGTACGGGTTCAATTTCATGCCAATAATATCTGTGCAGCGGCAGGCGAATAGAACGGAGCACGAAGGAGAGAAGGATGAATATTCGCGATACTCCATACTGCAGTTTCCTCTTTCAGGATAGCCTCGACCGAGACATAAAGAAGAATCACAACTAATACGCGTTAACCGGTCACAATTGCGTTTTCTCTCTCTTTTCTCTGCCTCCCAGACTTCCGTTTTGCTCTCATTGATTTTAATCCGCGGAAAAAATGGGTTTAATTAATGGCGTATATCAGTGCTCTCGAGCGAATTGCAATAACCAGTGGGAGTTCAATTTAGCGTTGATGATACGAAGGATCGCGAGCGAAAACGCGGTAACCCACATTCGGAATAGTCACGATAGTTACTCGAGAAGTAATATAACTTGCAGAACATTCATGAGAGCGTAAAGAACTTGTGATAAATTATACCAATATGAGGAGCGTACGAGCGAGATATGTTTCTTTGGTTGACGTTTATTTCCATCGTCGTACTATTTTTATATCTAATATGAAGCTCGCTCGAGAGTTTGATGTAAACATAATGTTACATCCTGCGAGAGTGGAGCGCCTGAACTTTGGTACTAAACCGTTATCTCACCGCGACTACCTTTCTTTATTTTTCTGAAAAGTTACGTTCTATGGGTTATCGTGTTCTTGCCCGCGGAATTCTTCATATTTACACACAGCGGCAGACCGTCGCGGCGCGCAACGGTACAGTTTCCCTGTCGAGGGATGCGGCGGAAGAGCCGAAGCAGACTTTGCCATAAACAGAGGATTCTTTCATGAAATATATACTAGCTTTTGATGCCTACCTTCGAGACGATGTATACGAATATTTCATTTGTTCGCGAATAGAAAGCGTTTCATGTTTATATCTCTCTTTCCGCGCAAAGTCTCGCAGGCGTTATCGTAATCGAGTTTCGCAGCTGTGACTGTATTGCGATAGGAAGCTTAAGATTGTACTTCCGAATATTTCAAGAGTAATCGAGGTACGCCGGGAAAAGCGATAGGAAAGTAATTTAGGTTAGCAGAAAGTTCGATCCTTCCTTCCTCTACATTAGCGTGCAGGATAATTCTCAAACTTTGTCTAGTAATCAACTCTTTCAATATCCATTTGTAGCGTATTAAAGCATATCAAATGCCGTTCGTGCTCACATATTCCACATTTAGAAACACAGTTTTGCTTTAATTACATTAATTTACTAAAAAAAAAATAATACTAAAAATCGTATCTGTTAAATTTGATACTGAAAGATTTGATTAAAGTATAAAACAACAAAAAGGGTAGAGAAACAACTGGCTCAATAAAGCACTTTCGCAAAACACTGATGAGGTAAATACCGATTAAGTTTGCGACGACAAAGAAAGATGGCTAGTTAAGCTTAGCAATGAGATTAGGCAGGTCACGCGAAGGCGAGGAGACGGTTCCAAATCGCGCGAAAAAATTCCGCTCTTTCTAAGAAATGGGTTTGTGAGGCCAGGTGGCGTGGATCAAAGCGGACACGAAGGCGATCCTGGCGATTCATGAGCACGTTATCACGAACAATGCCCGTCTATCGGTGACCCACAGCGACTACAACACGTGGACATTGAATATTCGCGGAGCACGCCGAGAGGATCGCGGGATTTATATGTGCCAGGTCAACACGGATCCCATGAAGAGTCAGGTAAGCACAACAAATTAGCAATTGCGAAGATAATTTGTTTTGCGCGAGAAAAAATTTCGCGAGTCTTTTCGCAATTACAAAAATATACATATTAATAATTTATAATTATCATCCAATTTTATCGAGCAAATGGAGAATTCCTGTAACGCGAAAATTACTTCGAGTTCATTAATTTATAATTGCGACCTCCGGACTCCGACTTTTCCGCTTTAATTCGGTCGCTGGTTTCGTTGTATATTTCGTAACACTCCACATTCTCTCCCCGCCGTACACATACACGCACTCACACGGATGTATCATAATTTATCGTCCTCGCATTTGCAGAGCGCGTTTTTGGAGGTAGTAATACCGCCAGACTTCATCGCGGAGGAGACCTCGAACGACATGATGGTTCCCGAGGGAGGTTCCGCGAAGCTGGTGTGCAAAGCGCGCGGTTTTCCCAAGCCCGACATCGTGTGGAAACGAGAAGACGGCGCCGAAATCATTTCGCGGACCGGCCATTCCGGCGGCAAGATAAAATGTAAGGATTCTAAGCTTTATTTCGCGCCAGCCGGTCTCTCTTCTCCCTTGGGAGCGATACAAGCAACGCGCTGCAATATCGAACGGTTTTCTTACCGAACGCGGAATTGTTGACGCAATTAAAATTGCTCCCGCCGGAATAGTTCGCGTTCGACTAGGGTCAGAATTTAATTGGCGGTCATCGCTGACATCGTCAGCGCTTTATTTAAATCAATGGTTTTCAAACTTTCCGCTAAACGTTATGATGTCTGAGAGAAACAGATATGCTGTTTCAATAAACTGCAGTAAATAATATGTTAAAATATGTATATGTACTACTTTATATAAGTACATTCCTATTTTCAAAATTAATTGCACATTATATGTAAATACTCTTTAAGTAACGAAATATGCAACTATAATACCTAAAACAAATCGGAAATAGATTTATTTAATAACAACAAATCCGCAATGGACGATTATGCATCTGTATAAGTCTAAGCTGTTAAGCCGATCGAATATTAATGTTATACACTTTAATTACATATAACGAGCTAACTTCTGAGAGCGTTCCTTGCATATTGCAGCACTCACTGCAGAGGGCGAAACGCTGACTTTGTCGAAAGTAACGAGGGGCGAGATGGGTGCCTACCTGTGCATCGCCAGCAACGGAGTGCCTCCGTCAGTCAGCAAACGAATGATGCTGCACGTGCACTGTAAGTACATCTACCGTATCCGTATAATCTAATGCGTCCGCTGTACGCCACAAAAGAATTTTTTCGCAATTGTAACCAATTCTTTTTATTAATAATTTTATATCATATAATATATTATTTTATCTATATATTACGAAAATATTCTTTCTACAAGCATTAAATGAACCTGATAAGTCTTTTCAAAGTTATCAATTTAAAGTCAATTTTGTTCGTTAAAGTATCAAAATTGCATACTCGCTTAATAATGTAACGTAATACAATTAAAATGTCTCAATAAAAGATGAGTAACAACGATTTACAAATAAGACTTGTTAAAACTTTCAAACACTACGACACTTTTAAAAGGGAAATAAGAGGAAAAAGCGACGCGCAATTTCTCGTGAAAACTCGGCAAAAAGAATATATCAGAATTTGTAAAGTCGCGAACGCTTTGTAGCAAATTACAAAATAAACTACAAAATTCTCGTGTGTGAGATTTACGGATTAATATTTATGAATCTACATTTATTCAACAAGTCATATGTATGTTTGACGAAAGTACCGTCAATAAAACGAGCTCTCTTTCAATTAACTGACTTTCAATTAACAACAATATTTACGTTCATCGTTTTGCAATTAAGTCATCTCTTACAGAATGTTTTATTAACTAATAAAAGTACATACGAATACTTTAAATATAAGCAAAAACCATCATATGATGTTATATGACATTTTTATAAAACATTTTAACAAGTTCATATTTGTCAATGCTACTCCTATTCGATATAAAAATTAATAAAATAAGATACATTATTTCTTTTATTATATTTTAATTTATTTTATTAATATATTACATTTTATGTTAATAATGAGCAAATATTTAACAAAATAAATAATATAAAATTGCGAGGACGAAAACTCGTCTCTCTTCAGACTTTCTATTTCTTTTATCCGCGATAATAATTGAAATTCTAAAACTTGCAAATTTGCATCATCACTGAAAGCTCTTGTTGACACTATTAATTAATCAGCGTGAGCAATCAGTGAAAAACGCTCGTAAGTTGAAAATAGAACGAGCGTATACGCGAGAGAATACATCGAGATTCGTTTCTTTTTTAACGTACCGCCCCACGATTTCTCGAGCTCCAAAGACGTTTTCTCAAGCAATCCACGAGGTGTAAACTCCGCGAACTACCCGTAGTAGCCTTATCCGCGCGAGACACACTTCTCGACGAAAAGCGAGAGGCGTCTCGAAGGGAATACAAGGCGTCGCGGCAACGGCGAAGAAAAGCGTCGGTTGTACGAGAAGATAGCCATCGTCGCCTTCTCTTGCATAATTTCACCGTAGCGAAGGCAGAAAAGACCGAGGGACTCTCTCCTCTCCGTAAAAGGAAGCTGAGACCAAGAGATGACAAGAACCGCGGCTAGAGGGTACGAAGAGGCGGGAAAAAAAGTAAAATACTGCTTAAATAACGCGTGATGGCGACAAGGTAAAGGAAAGACTTCGCAGGATGATAGAGCGTCGGTAAGGCGAGATAATAAAATTACACTCGGGACGCGACGTTACAACACACCCACGGTTATCCATACTCCCTTCCGAGAAGTTTAGCGGTACGCAACAATAAGGTCCTGCTTAGATTGCACGAAAGTAAAATAGATGAAGCTAAACACACGAGCCCGTCGCTGTGTTGCTGAGAATATTGTAAATTTAACTCCTCGCACAGTCTCCGTTATAGGATCAGTTTGATTATGTATATCGCATGTTATAAGGACTACAATTTTTTTAAAGAGCAAAGAAGCAACTTTAAATATTTCAAAGAAAAAAATAAAAATAACTAAATACGCAGCTCTTACAAAAAAAGAAATATCCAAAGTCTAACATATGCAACAAAGGAATATTTTACCGCAATAAAACGAATGAATTATACGACAGTAAGAGATACTTATACAATTAGATATTAAGTTAGAACAATTGATGCAATTGCACTGACGTAATTGCTTTAACGTAACACAATTGTAGCAGTCAATAATCGAATAGGAAGGATCCAAAAATAGGAGAATGCGAGAAGTTCGATTTCCAAATGAATTCGCATACGTTGAGGAACTGTATATTTATTGTTCCTTCAAATCCGAAAGTAAGTTAAAAGAGTGTAATACTAAGAGTAAAACGAGCACAGGAAGGTAGTCGTAGCTTTATTGGGGAAGAAGTGTGGTGCGACGATAGCGAGTTAAGCCGCGGTTACGACCGACCCGACCGTGTCTTAGATCCCGGTGAGGAGAGGTAATTCCTCGCCGGAAATTGGACGTATCTGTGTACGTACGTACGCTCTCTCCCTCTCTCTCTCCTCCTCTCTCTCCTCCTCTCTCTCTCTCTCTCTCTCTCTCTCTCTTTCTCTCTTATTCGCGACTGCACAATTTCACACCTGCCTTCGGGCCGATAAGATCGCGTGGGATAATCGAGTTTCATTGAAGTAGTACGCTATAGCGCCCGCGTCCGCGAGCTATTGCCGCGAAATTCGTGGTGTGAACCGGACATTATGGATAACGAGACGCGTGGATTTCGATTCATTCGGGTATACAAAACTGTTCGTGGTAGATGGCCGATTGCTTCAAACAGTCACGTGACACGACTGTCCAAGTTTCTTTAAAAAATATCCGGAAAAACATTCGGAATCGTCGATTAATACCGTGCGTATGCGATTACGCAATTGCTACTTGAATTGTCATCGATATACACGCTACTTATAAGATTGATATTTTTTTTATATTGCCATTTTATCTGTCCGAAAGCAGAGCACATTTAATAAAATTTTGTGCTACTTATTGCAAAACCATAAAGCAATTTAAATGTCTTTGACATTTTACAGAATTATATATAAATTACTTTTACTCGTAAAATATAAATCTTATCATTACAGTCGCCTTTAATGTCGGAATATATTAGCATTGATAATAATCGTATTAAGTGGTTAACGCTTCCGGATTGCTACGAGTAAAATTGTACTCGCGACTCACGTCCGCTCGTCATTGGCATCACGACGACAGTATGAAAGTTCCCTCCTAGTTAAGGACTCGGAAAAGGGAGACCAAGCCCTGATCTAATCATCGCAAGATGTGACAAGCTGAACTTTACTCGGAAACTTTAAACACCCCGCCGTCCGTTTCGGTTTTAACTTAGTCCCAACGTTTTAACTTCTCCGTTACATCTCTCGCGACTTCCTCCCCTGTTTGCAACTTTTCCACGGAACTCGGACGCGTAATTACGCGTTAGATAAATACGGTTGTACACGAAAAGACGAGAAGAACCGGCGAGAAGCGACGCGACAAGCCGCACCACCACGACAATGCGGAAAATACCAAAACGCCACGAAATGTCTCGACGCGGAGTCTTAACAACGGTTCTTAACAAAGAACCATTACGCCGTAGTAGTATGTGTCGCGAGCGTCATAGAAAAGGATCGGACGTTATCTTATCACTTCAGGAATACCGGGCGCCTGGGTCCTTTGCGCTTAAAGGAGGGGAAATCTTGACTCACTTGGGCTGTAGATTTCGCCGCGAAGCCGCATAGAGACTGAGAGCTGCGGCTTGGTCGACCCGGAAATACAATAACAGGCCATTCTAACGTTTGTAAGTTGACTTTATGCCACCGTTGGCTTCTTTCAAGTAAACCTAATATTATTCGCGATTACTATCTCAGGAATTACACGTGCACTTCCGTTCTAACAAACGCGACGTTGTTTGCAAGAATCGCGATAAATAAAATTTGTAGTAATTTTGTTTTACTTACTGCGATTACTTATCTACCGTTCTGTAATTAACTATTTGCTTAAGTAAGTAGCGGTGGTTTTTTTGTATGCTAAAAATAAATTCTTGTAATTTTTCCTATTTGTTAAAATATTGTAGAACAATCCTTTTATTATTAAATATCTAATTTTTATCTTATCTCTCCTGATAAATACACAAATTTTCCTTTACAAGTTTAACATCACCAAACATTTGTCACAATTTTTCAAAGCGTCATCCCTCATTAATACAAATCGATATGCAAATTATCTATCTAGAGGGCATTTGATGTGATATCGAGAATCGCGTGTACTGCATAGTGCATTAAATTATTACACCGCATTAAATTGTTACACCGCATTAGATCGGAGTATGAACGCGACGAATGTAATTTCGCGCCACAGACCGCATTATGCGCTTTGAGGCTTGCTTTCGCTAAATTAGCAAAGGCGCCGAAAGAAATTGGCTTGTACCATACTTATTTGCAAGCGCGATTGTGTGCTGCGTGGTTAATTCTCTATTTCAGTCTTTCGCTTCAAATCGATCGGCTATGCATTCTGCGGCACGGATATCGCATCCGGGAGCTTATTTGATTGATGTTCGGGAAGCTTATTTTGGCGTCGCTATATTTATCGGCGATAGCGCATCGTGAACTTGCACACGTTACTGTAAACGTAAACACGATAAAGATGCCCCATATTTTGAAAAAATATTCTTCGCTAAGAACATTCTGCAAACAGTCCGCTGATTTATAAATTTATCATATCAACAAATGTTTTTCACAAAATGAATAGACGGACTAAAGATACATTTCAAGTAAACAAATTTTATTTTAACAGAAATATAATTTTCGATACTAAAATCAGAACTTAATATTTCATTGAAGAAAGAATCAATAAAAATAAATAATAACGCTAATTTTAGAAAATTCTATATAGCAATTTCAAATTACGAGTAGAACACTCAAAGGAAATTGTATTCTATCGATGCATGTTCATGGACAAATTTAAACAACTCCATATATTTTTATGGCCGCTGGATGAGCGGTCTGTTTATCGATAAACTGGCCACGTGCAAAATGCACAACGACGATTTGCATGCCGCGCAATTGCTTGGTGGCGAAATGCTCGGCGCCGAAATGTCGCGGCGTATTTGCGTTTCGGCAAATTTGGACCACGGGCTCGTTCACAATTAAGAGTAATGTCGGCCGATCTCGTTGTTTGTTATCCAAACAAACGCGTTGCCTATCGTCGCCTATACGGGCTAAACGTTACACGAAGAATTCCCACCGCGAATATTCATCACTATATGTCGCGCGCGCAAAATCAGTGCCACGAGAGTTTTTGGACGAATCGAAAGTTCACACGTAAATCCGCCGGAAAATCACGCGACAGATTTGCGGGACACGTCCGGGCAAATCGAAGCAATTAAATCTACCTCCCTTTTTCTCTTTCTCTCTCCCCGGTCGCAGCCGAAAGGGATTCATAAATCAATTCTCGCGCGATTGTACGCTTAGGGGCGAAAACGTGATTCAATTCGGCGCATAATTGTTGCCCCGGAATTACCGTGAGTCCACGTGAGTCGAATTAACGCGTGGCGAAGTGTCCCGTTTGTTGTTGCATTTGTGATAATTCGCCTGGCACTTTCTCGCTCATCCACGTTTTACGTTATACAACCGACGCGCGTTATAATTGTCAATTATTCCCCCGCCTCGCGATTATTAATATCACGGTCACATTCGCGATTGCCATCTGACGAGAGCATGTTTCTCGATCAATGCGCGGAAACAACTTTCCTTCCTCTCTCTAGCGAAATTCGCAACACAATCAAAATTACCAGATTTTTATTCCGGATTGTCGATATATCTGACTTATGGTTACCCCACCGCTGAACACTTTGTGTATTCCCTTTTCTCATATAAAAGTGTCTCGTCCCGGCGCTGCTGGGATCTTCGGTGTGTGCACAAGTGCGACGCGAGCGCATATATTTCCCAAGCGGCGCGCGAGATAAAGAGTCGACCGAAGACTCGCCGAGGAAACGGCCAGTTTATCTCGCGCCATCATCTTAATTTTCTGTTACCACGTACGTAATATCGTCACCCAGCATTTCACCCGTTGATATCGCCGACGTAATCTTTATTACTGGTATTACGAAAGCGCTATCTTAGAAAACGTTATCTTTTAACGGCGGCGATACAGGATCGTTAGAGATTGTGATGACAAATTTTAGACCACACCGTGAATACAAATAGTCCATCTACATCTATATCTGTATGCAAATGAATACGATTTTTATATTATTCGAATCATTATGTAAAAGAAAATTGAGGTAATACCCTTTATCCTTTCCTTTTGAGACTAATTGCCTCAAATTGTGCTAATTTGGCGAAAGGCGGACTTTCTTTATAAAATGCACGTTTAATCAATTTTTTTACATAAATTACATCGTAGCAATTTATATATCTAAAACTATCACGCAAAGCTGATAAAATTTCTAAACTATTCATTACTCGAGCATCGTTAAAAAAATATTTTTTTTTTATCTCGTTTGATTCCACTATAATGAGCAATTAGGTCAACTTTATTAGATTATTCCGATCAAACTATGCAGAAATTTTCTCTTGTGCAGAAAAGACACGGCAGAGTTCAATGGGCTACAGATTTTCCTCGGGAGCAAAATTTCGCGTCGGTGGGGTTAAGTAGCCGCTGTAAAACGCACTGTAAGCGCCTTGTGACGACACAACGTTGGCCAAGCTTCGGTCGAAAGAAGAAGTGCTCGGCGCGGTCGCCTGTTAAAACGTAAGCAGCTCATGAAAAGCTGCTTACGATACTCGAAACGAAGGCAGCGCGACGTTGCCAGGAGACGGAAAGAGAGAGAGAGAGAGAGAGAGGAGGGAGGGAGG